GGGCGAGTCTAGAGAAGCGACACTTCCCAAGTCGACCGAGATGGGGAAGACGGGCCAGTCACTGTGATATGTATGAGCTCCCGATGTACGTAGCAGAATATAGCGCCCCTACTTCAAAACACCCCGAAACGTATTATTATTGTCATTCGGGTTTACGCGACCGGTATCTACGAATCCTCCGCGGCAGGCATTTTGTTCGCAAGTCTGCCAAGTGATATTGCGTCCCTGTCCCTGCCAATGAAATCAACATAGTCCATGACATGCATGACAAACAACAAATTCATGTACCAGCCCCATCGCAAAGTACATTGCACCATCTGAGGCTTGTCCGTTTTCTTCTTGGAAAGGCGCCGGATTTACGAGCTGCAGTTGATGATAGATAATGCTACTGGTTTTCGTCGGTGGACTCCACGACATCTCTTGAGACATGTCAGTCACGGTGGGGCCGACGAGCCATTCTAGAAGAATATCAGCCCACAAGTTGCGATACGCGTGCATGTGTGCCGCTAGACACTACTCACGTCCAGTTAGGTCGCAGTACATCTGTATGTCATGTGGTTGGCCATCGGTGGATGCGAATTCCACGGCAGCATAGCTGAACGGGAGGGATTGGCGTATGAGGTCAGATGGCTTGTCGTGATGTCAGCAACGTGAAGGTTGCTTGTGGGTCGCAAACCTACATCGATGGGACTCAGAAACGTCAAGGTAATGTTCAAGGGACCAGCCTCGATGGTTTGCATGGTACGAGTAGGGGACAGTTCCGTCTGAACGAGGCTTCCAACTGCCACGGTGTAGTTGGGCGGAAAATTGTTGTCGCCAAACACAATGTACGTCTTTCCATCCACTCGGATGTAACAATTCCACCCAATATCTTGCTGGGCCGCGAGGTCAGCCCATGAGTATGCACGGATACTGAGGATCGTACCTCCGTATCAAAAAAAGACGGCAATTGGTTGTTCAGACTATCCGACGTCTTCGTCTTGTACATCCATGTGTTCAAATAAGGCGTGCGAACAGCAAGTGGTACCGCTAAGGGCCAGAATGTTTGTGACCCATGCACTTGCAAGAGGGCAAAGCGTGCAAGAAACAGAGAGGTGCCGAAAGCAAGGAGCACCATGGAGGGAGCAGCGAGGGAGCGAGACGAACTCAGCATCGCCTGTAGATACCGGGCGGCGAACCCTGTGACGGCGATCCCCTCGCTGTTCTGAACGTGGATGAACGTGTATGTCAATTCATTGTAAGAGTTCAGCGCTCAGCTCGGCATCTGATGCCACATCTTGCTTGTAACACTGCAGGTACGGTAGCACGTCACCGGCGTCATCTTCCTTTGCTCCGAGGACCATCTAAGGCTCGCGTCGATGTGGTCAACGTGACGAATGAATCCGAATCTGGTTGGGCTCATCACCGTTGACCCATCCAAACATAGATCGAGGCTGCCAATTACTAGGAGTGTCCGATGCTATCCGGCGCCATTACAGATGCGTTACGACCGCAACAGAAGTATGTTGGAAGAATCTTGACACCTTGGAAAGCGTTCAGCAGTGGATATAGCCACGATTTCACCATATTCACGAACCCAGTGTAGACCTGCCTCATAGAGAGCCTGCTGGCAAGATATGATCGAGGTATGCAATGGCTTCCGGAGGAGGACTGACTTACGAAAACGTGTAGCGGATCCATCCCACGATGCATTTCCATCACGGCAGGACGGCAGAGGCGACATGGTCTGTTGCATGCATGTCAAGGGAGACTGGGCCTCATGGCAACTGCGAGTATCGGGATTGAATATTGAAGACCTATCATTGTACAAAGTCAGCTGTTATGTAACCGCACAGGTCAATGATGACGACCTCGACAAGTCACATCGACTTTCCTAGATACTTCTCTCTGGCGTAGCCAACAATTCGCTCATGACCTGCACGCATCGATGCGACGAGAAACATAAGCACATGAGTAAATATCATCCTCTCTTCTCCGAGATACAGTGACGATAAGATGTCCATGAGGCATCCCATATCCATCATACCTTGGATGTTGCTTCGATCGCGGATGCATCGCCTCCTCCCTACGAACTGCCATGGAGTTTACGTGCCCTGAGAATATAGAAGACCATGCTACTCACAAGTAAGCTCATGAAGGAATGCCGCGACCTTGCTCTCAGGCTTCTTCTCGGCCTACGCCATTGCCCTTCGGTGTATGTTATGCGCCGGCGTGATCGTCTACTTAAAGTTCGAGCGTGTATAATGAGCCTTGAGCGCTTGAGCTTGAGCTTTGAAGAAGTTGACAGGCCAACATCCATCCGAATGGAGATTGAGATGCTACCCGAGAAGCACAGCACGAGATTCGAACATGCACATCTGTCTTCGAGGCTGCGGCCTGTCCATCTACGTAGCAAGCACTGTATCAGTTACCCGTTGTACTTCGCCCGTGCAGTGTACCATATCCCCTCCGCATCTGTGATCGCACGCGTATACTTCAGCAGGAACTTGTCCCGTTCCTTGGCATCCACGACGATGTCTGCGAGGAACGGAGAAATTTCGTCAGCCTTCCAGCGCGGCCGTGTAAGGAAGAGATCTGTGAAGCGCGCCGCGGGGTCGATGGGGAGCTGGGAGGACGGGAAGTACGTGAGGACCACGATAGGCGGCTCCTTGAGCACGTCTGTTTGTGTGAGGTAGTTGCCCTGGACGAGTATCAATACCGCACGAGGCGGTAAGACTTGGAAGAGCTTACGGAGAGGAGGTCGACGGACACCTCAGACTCGAAGGTGTCGCCAACGCTTTTACGCCACTTTGTGAGGAATTCATCCAGTGGTATCGACTCTTCCTGCGGTGTCATCCAATTTATTTAACCAGCTAGTTTCTGGCAAGCATACCACGCACCCTGTAAGGCCTCAGCAAGCCGAGACCGATCTCTCGCACAACGGCAGTTTTGTCCATGCACCACTCGCCGTCGATGATGTTGCCGAACCAGGCCATCACCTGTTTACAGACGTCTTTCCGGACGTCGTAACCGTCCTGAAGTGCGCAGCATAGCGCATCCATTGACGCAGAATCATGCGGGAGCGATAATGAGACGAGATGGGTGAGTAAAAGCTCGAGTATGGCGTTCAGGTAGGTCGGAGAGATGGGGCGGAGTTCGCCTGCGTGATGTAGTATGAGTAGTGAGGGGCAATATGATTGAGGCCACACACCGTTGAGAATGAGAACACGTCTCTTCTTGAGGCCCTGGTCGAGCTCCGCGTCGCTCGCTTGTAACATCGCTCTTGCCTTCTCATACGTGAACTTCTGTCGTATCGTTGGGATTATGAGCCCGTGATTCACGCGCCAGTGTCCCAGCTGACACGCTTACCTACCTCAGATTCGTCCATATACATATCACCATCCCCCTCCTGCCCTTCGTCGTACTCTTTCCCTCGTAACAGAACGTCCAGCTTGTGAAGCCTCGGGACCGACGGCACCAGCTCAAGGATCTCATTAAGCTGATCTCGCACCTCGACAGAGGTAGAGTGGGGAGTCTCATCGGTAGATGTGTCTTCCCCGACCCCTGCTGTTGCCACGATGACGGAGTTTGAGAGAACTATAGAGCGAATGGTGTAGGTCTTGTTTGCGGTACAGAGCACAGCATCTTCGTCAGGGTTCCCCTTGATTGACCAGCTGCACGGATGTTAGATATGGGTATCGATTGATAGTACTTCCAGGAGGTATACCTCGAGGATTCATCGGGATTCGACTCGACCAGCTTGCTCAGGTCGGGTGGCAGCTCTAGCAACTTGAACGCGGCTGTGTCCGCAACCGCAGAAGAGGAGAACTTCAGGGTGTATTCCGGCATGGAACCAGTAGCATAAGCGTAAAAATACAAGCAAGCTTGACGAGTACAAGGATCGAATACAGGCGCAAGTTTGAACCACCGTGACGCGTCGTCACGGTGAGCGCGCGAGTCGCGACACGAAAACACGGTACATGTGATCAGGTGTAGTAGGCGCCCGCGTAGAATTCTTGCTTCGAATTCCTGATCGCCCCTCCTCCTCCTCCTCGATGCCTTACATACCCCTTGCCTCCCATAAACCTGCGCAGCGGCCGATAGTGATTTATAACTTCTATACATCGACGAAATTGCGACATAAAAGGCCTCATTGTGCGGAGCGTGTATCCGAGTGGCTAACTATAGCTGACAAATCTGCAGCTGGGGCCAGTGCACAGATGTCTAGCGGAGACCGACGGATATCTGTCTCGTTGCATAGCTGGAAATTGTTGTTGCGCTTGCGCCCACTACGCCACGCAGTACTTGGTTCAGTACACTAAGCCCATGTCCTATCAGCTGACAAACCTGGACGGAAATGTCGATGGCGACTACACGGTCGACGTCATGTGCACTCTCTCGTCCGTCGACCTGTTCTCAACCACCGTCCGTACTTAAACCCGCACAACCTCTTGTACGAATTCCTTGACTGAGGAACCATGTCTGGCCTCGATAACACCAACCACGAGTCGACCAATCTCCAGGGTCAATATGCATGGACGGACACGCTGAAGGGTGTCCACTACGGCCCGGGGTCGCTCACCACTGCTCTGCCAAAGCTTCTGAAGACTCTCGGGGCGTCCAAGGCCCTCGTCGTCACCGGCAGGAGTCTATACGACAAGGTGCGCACCCAATTCCCCTATGATGCTCCGCCGACCGCGCTAACGCCCATCCCTCGATCCGGGCAGACGGATGTCGTGAAGAAGGTCGAGGGCGTGCTGAAGCAACACAATGCGTACGCGGCGACGTTCTACGAGATCGGACAGCACTCGCCTGTCGCTGGCATCCACGACGGGCTGAAGGTGTTCAAGGAGTCGGGCGCGGACGTCATCGTCTCCGTCGGCGGAGGATCGCCCGTCGACGCGTCCAAGGCGATCCTGTACTTCCTCCAGCAGGAGACGGGCGGAGAGTATTTGCGCCAGATTGCGGTACCCACTACGCTCAGCGCGGCGGAATACACGGTGAGTAATCCTCCTGTGTATGCAAACGGCGTCTCATCGGGACTCGACTGTACAGATAGGCGCAGGGTACACGAATGAAGAGGGGAAGAAAGTCGCGGTCAGCTCACCGCAGCTCGCACCGGCTGGTATCATCCTCGACGCGGAGCTCACACTCGCTACCCCAGAACGCCTCTGGTCAGCAGTTTCCCGAGCCATATGTACTGTGTCTGATTCCTAGGGTGATAGGCTGTCCACCGGGATGCGCGCAGTGGATCATGCAGTAGGCGAGTTGATATGGCCGGCGTATCCCAGAGAACCCAATCTGAGCCAGGTGCAGAGAACCTATACAGACCACTCATCCCCCCACCCGTCAAGTACCTTTGCTATGCTGCGCTCGTCGACCTCTTCAAGTACCTCCCCGCCTCGAAGGCGAACCCTCAGGCGGTGGATGTCCGACAGAAGCTTCAGCTTGCCTCGTGGATGAGCCTGTGGCCCATCAAGCTGGAGAGGTATAGGTAAGCGCCTATACAGCTGTGGGAGGAGGCCTTGAGGATGCTGACGGGAGAACCGCTACGATAGCGCGCTCGGGTTGTCTCATGCGCTCGGCCATAAGCTAGGAGCGACGTACAGTATCCCGCATGGGATTACTTCCGTACGTCGGTTCCCCTTTTGTTCGCAGGCATCTCCGTTGATGGCAGAGGATGTCAGTGTCTGACGCTAGCACCAACCGTTGCGCTCAAAGCCGAGGTCGCCTCTGAGGACGACAAGGAGTGGCTGTCCAACACGCTCTGGTACCTCGCGCAAGACAAGACAGGTTCTCTGGACGGCGACGTGCTCAAGCTATCGAAGCTCATCGACAAGTACGTACCCAGCCCTACCCCGGATCATCGTCACGGTAGTGATCTGCGTATGGCTGATTCTGTTCTTCGTGCAGTCTTGTGAGCGATCTGGGGCTGAAGTCGACACTGACTGAATACAACGTCCCGCGCGAGGATCTCCCGAAGATTGCAGAGCTCTCGGTGGGCAGCAAGGACGATTCGACGTATCCGAAAGTCGTCAAGCTTCTCGAGGGGCTTTATGCCTGATTCCTCAACCCATATAGCTGTACTCAGTAGTGGTAAAAGGAGATCGTCGGCATTCTTCACCTACCATACATTATTCTCGAATTGTAGGATTATTGAATTATGGACGAATAGACGCGACGCTATAGGGCGAATGACTCGTGCTGTCATAAGGATGCCGTGAGGTCGACGCGATACGGCTGCGCCGAGCGCTGCAGCGCGATGGCCTTCGACCACCCCACGATTGCGGCATCCCCATTTCTTCGTCTGCAGAGCCCACGGACCCGCTCTGCCTCCCATTCTGACGCTTTAATTTATACCTTCACCTGCGCGTAGACTGCGACGACGACTGCCCGGCGAACGACTTTCGCACCTGACACATCCCTCCCACCGTATTGGCTTGGCTGACCCATGCTGCGACGCTCAGCTGTCTCTCGAGCCCGTCGCGGAACGCCTCTGATTCCTTGCACTGGTTCGAGCAGGATCAAGCGCGACGTCCGAGGCGGTCCCTCCGATCGTGCACGGAGGACCTTCACCGCGCTCAGCTCTGGCCCTCAGACAACACACACACTCCCACCCATACCGAACGCAGCATACGTGCCCACACTGAGCACGATGACCTCTCGCCGACCACATTCGAGCCAAGCGAAGGGCAAGGAACCGGCGACGCCGACGGCGCACGAGCCTGAGCATGGACCCTCCTCCCACTCCCACTCACATACACACTCGCATGAGCACTCCGCATCATTCTTCGGCGGGATGTCCCACACGCATGGGCCAGGCGAGGATGGGCATGGGCACGACGCGGAGCAGATCGTAGAGGCCCTCCAGAAAGGCGCAGGTACGTGCGCCGCGTACGTCTCCCCGAGTGCTCCCGCTGCAGACGACTGATGCAGCGTGCGCGGTGCAGCGGATAGGGGTAGCCGGATCACCCTCATAGGGCTCTTCGCGAACGTCGGGCTCACGGCGTCGAAGGGCCTCGCAGGGTGGTACATGAACTCGGCCTCGCTCCTCGCCGATGCGGGCCATTCACTCAGCGGTGCGTCGTAGCGTCTGAATCTCACAGCATACCCGTCGACTAACGCGGTGCCCGCCAGACCTCCTGGGCGACTTCGTCACGCTCGCGACGTGGAAGGTCTCGCGCAAGCCGCCCTCGGAGCGGTACCCGTACGGCTTTGGCAAGTTCGAGGTGCTCGGCTCCGTGACCGTCTCGCTGCTGCTCACAGGCGGCGCACTCGGGATCGGCTACCACTCGCTCACGCTCCTCCTCGAGGCGCTCTCGCACGCCGCGGGGCCCGTCCACGACGTCGCCTCGACCGTCGCGCAGACGCTGCCCGCCGCGGGCGCGCATGGGCACGGACACGGGCACGCGCTGGACCCAAACGCGGCGTGGTTCGCGCTCGCGAGCGTGCTGGGCAAGGAGTGGCTGTACCGCGCGACGAAGCGCGTCGCGGACGACGAGCGCAGCCCGGTGCTGCATGCGAACGCGCTGCACCACCGGAGCGACGTGTACGGGAGCGGGGTTGCGCTGCTCGCGATCCTGGGGACGTGGTGGTTCCCGCACCTGCCGCTGGACCCGATAGGAGGTGCGTGCCGTGAATAAATGCTGCGTGGAGACACGCGTCTGATTATGGTGCTGGTGCAGGTATCCTTGTGTCTATTCTCATTGTTAGGCAGAGCTGGGGGATCTTGGCTGGCGGGTTCCACCAACTAACAGACGGGGGCGTGTCGGCGGGGACGCGCCATTCCCTCGTCGAGTCCCTCACACCCATCCTACCCTCCACGGCATCATCGCTCACGCCCTCCGCCACGCAAATACAGACGCACACCGAGGACCTGCTCGGGATCCGCGACGTGCGTGCGATGCGCGCCGGCGGGTTGATGTTTGTCGACCTCGTCGCGGAGGTACCGCGCACGCTGAGCGTGGAGGAGACAAGTCGGCTGGAAGCGCAGATCATGCGCTCGCTGAAGGGGGCGAGGAGGGAGGTGACGGAGGTGAGGGTGCGCTTCCACCCGGTGGATCAGGAGGAGATTGTGAGCCGGCATGGGCACGTGCACGACCACAACCACGACCACGAACATTGAATGCATGTAAGTACCATATGAACGTAAGTAGATTTATTGGAAGGATGTGTTCTGCTCTGCGTCGCCTAACCTGCACTACACATCTGCGGCGCGACGGATTGGTGCCCGGTCTCAACGGGATGTCCGGCTGCCTCGAGATCGATGGCCTCCGTGAATGGCGTTTGAATAAGCGCCTTTCGTCGGCTCCGCGTCGAGATCTCGACGGGTGGTGTGTGGACATAAGTATCGCAGAGCCTCGACCGGCTGTCGGTGTGAACAATTCCCGACGCTGTCAAATGCATCACAGGATGCAAACAAAGCTAGACATGTACGAACCCATCGCCTAACGAGGACAGAACCTACCAATAACAAAATGAAGATGGACTTGTCCTCAGGACTTTCTGTGCGCGTTGTTTCCAGGCGGGAGGACGGACGATCAATTGGGCGATCTTGACTCAATTCGGCCGAGACCACAAGTCCCGTAGACGCCCCCGGTCAGGGCAAGCCTGGGCGAACCGTTGTTCCATACGTGCCTGGCGCCGACGCTGGGCGGGGACAATCACGGTGACTGTGGATGACTGCGTGATGCTCGGGCAACGCACCAAGCCGCTCAGGTTCACCCTCATAAGGGCATCACCGCACGGTCTTGTTTCATCACTTTTTGCGCCTTGTATTGTCCTCGTATAAGTGTCGACCCCGTCGCACCGTATCTCCCTCTTCCTCACTGCTTTCACTCCTTTGCGTACTAACTCTCGTCTGTCGTTGAAACGCCAAAATGCCCCCTCAGCGTCGTTCGACGGGCATCACTTTCTGGGGAATGGTTGTGGGCGTGATGGCCGCGCTGAAGCTCAAGGAAAAATGGGATGACTGTGAGGCAATGATGTACAAGAAATTGTACGGACACTAACAGTTCACTCAACAGACAGACAGGTGCCTACAGAGCCGGATGGCGAAACTGGTCCTCTGGCTCTGCACAGCCCCTCGGGCTCGACGCCAGACTTGCCAATGCTCGATACGAATATCCCTGCCACGAACACGAGGAAAACGCGCAAGAAGGCCGATTGCTGTATGTGCTGTGGGTTGCGGTCAGTAACAAACCGTCTGCGACAATACGAACGCGTCTTAAATGGCTGACAACGGAATATAGATGTGGCCTCTTTTGGAAGGCCTTCGGCATTGTCTGCGCGCTGTTACTCGGCTGGCAACTCATACAGTTCATTATCTGGATGGTGAAGGTAGGATTCGTCTTCCGAGGTAGTTGCTTTCGTGTGACGATTGTTGGCATTCCAGCCCACGCCCACCGGTCTCGAGAATATGCCCGTGTTCAGCAAGTCCCTGCCTTGTGCCAACGCTCCGCACCTGTACCAGGGCTCGGAGAAGATCACCTACTCTGTACCTGTCGACTCTGAGGGCCAGCACTCTATCGACCTCAGGGGAAGGCTGTTGGTACACTCGTCATCGCACAGGGCGACTACGATGCCTCCGACGTCACATACCAGATGACTGTCCGCACGAACAACCAGGCCCTCCTCGATCTCGTCACCGTGCAGTACCCGAGCAAGGATGACGGCGAGAACCTCGCCAGCAGGCTGCGGCTCTCGACGCCACAGTTCGGCACCGAGTCTTGCATGCGCTACGACATGACCGTCTACGTCCCGTACACCGTGCGCCGACTGGACATTGCGGCGCGCACGACGACACAGGTCAAGTTCGACGACGAGTCCAACCTCGACCTCGACTCGCTCAGCATCCGGGTCACGGGCTCCGACGACACGAGCATGATCCTCCCGCACCGCGGCGTGCACGCCAGCGCACTCACCATGGACCTCCAGCGCGGCTGGCTCGTCGGCGACGTCACCATCGAGGACCAGACCACGCTCTCGACCGCGCGCGGCGACGCCGCGCTGAACGTGCACGTCTTCCCCGCGCCCTCCACCGCGGAGCCCCCCGCCGACGCGCACCTCACGACGTCGACGGGCAGCGGGCGCCGGACGTCTTCTACGTGAGCCACCCCGGCCACCCGCACCGCCCGATCGACAGCACCCACCGCGTGCAGGGCACGGGCGACCTCTACCTCACGTACAAGGACGCGGCGTTCAGCGGCACGGTCGACCTCGCCACGCGCTCGTTCACTGCCTCCGGCCCCTTGCACGACGCGATCCCGCGGATCGCCGACCAGCTCCCGTGGGTCGGCGAGAAGGACGGCGCGGACAAGATGGTCGTCGAGTCGAAGAACGGATGGGTCGGCCTGTACTTCTGATCTGTCCGCTGTGTGCTGCGTGGATTTCCTTTCTTCTGGGTTTATGGACGATGCTGTGGACTGAGACTGTTCTCTGATGTGTTGTAATGTGGTGATCGTCGACAGAAATCAATTACTAACATGTCCGGACTCGTGACTGTAAAAGTCTCTGAATTATCGAGGGAATGATCTCTACACCAGGCGGATGCTTTGCAGTCGGGGATCGTGATTTGAGTCCTCCATGGTGCGTGCGCGCTGGCACCGTTTGCCATGTCAAAGCTGGCAGCTCTTGTCGTCCCGAAAGAGGCGATCTTACTACGAGTCGCTGTGCTCCACTGCCACTGCTTGCAGTGTTTTGGAAGTCTCGCGGCTGTGATGAAAACACTTCTCACACTATGGCGGTGTGTCAGCGTTCTCCAGTCCGACTGTCCCGAGACTCACTGTCGGGCCTTCATGATAGCACTGCCTTCTCATAATAGCCCTTTCCCTTAAGTGACGGGGCCCTCTGCAAGTAGCTTGAGCTTGAACGCCTATCATCCCTGCAGCCTCCATGCCCATCCTCAGCTTCGTAACTCCTGCGTATGCCAAGGGAGGACTATGTTTCGCACTTGCGCGTAAAGACAGTCTTAATCGCAATCAGTACATGCTCGTGTTTGCCAGGCCATATGGCATGGCCTACGACCGCAGAGGCCCTACTCTCAATTGTGCCGCTTCGTCCAACGAAGCAGACGCGCCTGGCCTATCTTCCTCCGGGCATCCGATGATATGTTTCGACTGCGACATCGATCTCAACCCTCTAAGGCCTGAGCCCAAGGGCATGTTGAACGCGTTGCTTCAAGCGGAGCCACCGGTGATACGTCCAACCGGACGCACACGCAAGATGGTCGATAAGTCGGGCGGCGTGGAGCTGGTACATGAAGTCGAGATCCTAGTAGATGAAGACGGGCTTTCACATGTGTGTTGCTATTGCGGGCAACCAGAGTTCATCGAGCCATGTCGTTTCAAGCGATGCAACAAAGACTCCACTCGGCCTCAGTACTTGTGTCCAACGGTAAGCATTATCTTCTTGTCATCAATAGTACTGACTCAAGGTCTTCCGCAGTGTGAGGAGCAGTCCAGGCTCACGAGGGCTTTCCGATGGGTGTTGAGACGTTATTGGTTGGGCGGATTGGAGTAGACTGATACCGCGAAATAAGTATGACAGCTTATGATCAGAAACGGGGAAACGACATCTGTGCAAATAGGATGATGTACCGGTATCCCTCAGACAGCACCTGCGTGAATGGGTATGCGATCTGTATGCGGAGACGCAGAACATGCTCAAAGCTTGTTCTTGCTCTTCTCCTCTACCACCTTCGAGACCTCCTCGCCCTTGTCTGCCCACATAGGAATCGGAATATCAATGCCATCGCCGACGCGGGCATACGAAAACATGCCCAGGCGGGACATGGCACGCAGCTTGGCGGGGTCGACGTTGACGCCGTCCGGAGACAACACCGCGTTGCGTACGTGCATCATCTTGATGCTACCCATGACAAACGTGTTCGTCATCTCGGGGCCGTAGTTAGAGACGAGATCGTGGTGTTGGAAGAGCTGCATATGATCAGGTGAGTACAGCTGTAACGAAGCCCTGTGGAAGACTGACCTCGCATTCGAAGCTGACAGCGCTTTCCCGGACTCGCGCCGGCTTGACGATAGTCTGCATCGCCAGACCAAAGTCAATGGATCAAGCATAATGCATGGATCAAAGAGCGTACACTCGGCTCGGGAGTGAGGCCGCTGACAAGCCATTCGTCAACTTCCTTCGGTGCGTCGATCGAGCAGGCATTGGCGGCCTCCAAGAAAGGCTCGCTGATGAGGTTGACAGTAAATGTCTTCGTCGCCAAAATGTTATCACGTGTATCCTTTCCGATGCCACGGAAGATTGCAAACGACACGCCAATCATTGGCGGGTCGTGCGCCAACTGGAGAGAGAAACTGTGTGAGCGCCGTTATGACAGCCCTTGTGCAGATCAATCGTACCAAAGAGAAATAGCTAAAGGTCACTTATCAGTCCCTAGATACAATATCGACGACGATGCACTCACCTCATAGGCGCAAGGTTGGGTACATCCTGGGCCGACAACGACGAGATGAAAGCGATGGGTCGAGGGATGATTGAGCTGGTCAATAGCATGTATACGTCCCTACAAACAAGCAACGCATAGTCAGTCCCCGAGACCTTCCGGTACTGACGATTGCACTCACTTCCCATGCGTCTCTTTCAGCGTGAAGCTCTTCCAGCCCTTCGCTTCGTCCTCCTTCCACTCCTTCGCCAACGGGCTTGATTCAGGCGCAAGTCCCTCTCCCCATTTCCAGCCTGGATTCGGCGATTGCGTGAACTTGAAGCTCGGCGCGGCGTTGAACTTTGGGAGCCCGCTCTCCGAGCTCCGGGATGGAGACGTGCTCAAGCTCCGTACCAGGCGTCCGGGAGCCTGTATGATACGCTGTATGGTGGACATTGCTGAAGAATTGAAAGCTGACAAGTGTCGTAGTCCCGGGGCGAAAGAGTCGGTGAGTTTCAAAGCTTCTCACCTCTCCCTATGTACTATGACCGCCGCTGCTAAAGACATTTCCGTGGAATGATGGCACCCATGGCGGCCGCCGCAGTGCCTCCGTCTTACCATACGATTACGGGGGCTTATACAGGACGGAAACCGCGCTTCGGGACTTCCGTCACCCCGACGACACTCCCTGAGAAGGGTCTCGACCACTGAGGGAGTTCGGCGATGAGAGACGTCACACGCTAGTCCAGTAAGACGAATGTCTCTCTCGCCGTGGTGCTGAGACAGTACTCGCACACGCCCTTTGCGGCGTATCGTGAGAGGCTCTCCAAACTGCTGGACGGAAGTGTCAACGGTCCCCCTACAAGCGCAGCAGAATGAAAGAACAGCAATGTGGGGCATGAGTAAGGATGCTATGTGCTTTCCCAAGGGATGACCAACGAAGGCGAAGATCACGTTGAAACCGTCCAATGGGGTTCGAGGGCTCCAGCATCCGCCCACAGGGTATCTGTCTCCGTGAGAATATACAGCAACCGGCTCTCCGAGCACACGAAGCGTGTTCCTGGTGACAGATAGACATACCACATCGAGGCGCTTGAGGTAATGGTGGGAAATACACCGTTGCAGAGCTGAGACAGTGGACGTACCTCCTTTAGTTGGGCATAAACGTCCATGTAAAGCAGACGATCACAGATCGCTTGAACGTCACCGGACAGAGATTGGCGTTCTATCTCGACAGCGCAACGACCTGAAAACTATAGCTACATTAAATCCTGATCCACATCAAGGTGTGCTTGAACCTGTAACGAAGCAGTGTAAGGAGTCAATACCGAAAACTGATAAGAATCAACGGAGGGGATATGTTGGAGGGCCAGGGAAGTGCAAGACGGGATCGCGGATTCCTTGTAAGAAGTCTTGCGAGAACTGCTCCTGAGTAAAAGTGAACGATTGTGACGGCATCATGAGCGGCTCAGTGGTAGGAGCGAATGTTGTTGCGGTTGGGCATAGGTGCGGATTCGGCTGTAGAGACCAGTGGCCACCAGTCGTATCCGGGAGCGACAGACGCTGCCGGAGTGTAGTCCGGACCGAGAAGGGCCGCCATGAAGTTGGGGCCGTACTGAGGGTCTTGATGCGGCTGCGGCTGAGGGAGCGGCACAGCAGCTGGCATAGGACGTAAGTGAGAACCCTCGGCATACCTATCGGAGGGCACATCGGAGGCGACCATCTGCGACGCTTCAGCGGCGTCTGCAGCTTCATCAGTGTACTCCTCGAGTACAATCTCAACAGGTCGTTTCCGCGATGGACCGGCGGGTTCGGTCAATGCCACTGCTATCTGCACTCCGGCGCCTCGGAGGAGATCCGCCACCCGAGCGGCAGTAGGCCATACATCCTACAGCAAGGAGTTGAGACTGTAGTCTACAACAAGTCTAGGGAAAAGCCTACACGCATTCGTTCGCAAACATTGATGCACTGGTCAAGGCCTGTGGCTGCCCGAGCATCGTCGGATCGTAACCTCACTTCGATAGTCCGGATTAGATTTACTGAAGAAAGGTACCAAGGACTGAACTCACGTGCAACGACATGCATGATGCTGGTAGCATAATTTTCATAATCATGCTCGCCACACAATCATTGTAGTTCTGTACTTACCCTGCGCTTTGAATAGTCGAGGAGATCAATGGAGGGGCCCAACGGATGTCATAGTAGCGATTGAACAGCGTAGCTAGCGCAATTTAGTCTTAAATTGGTAGTACTAGTAGAGAAGAGCAAGACTCACCGAAGGCGCTGATGTGGGAAGCAGCGCCCTGACAGAAATCGTAGGACTTCCAGGGCACTGTGTCGTCCGCTGAGGAAGCAGAGGGAGGGGTTCTAGAACTGTAGTCGATGAGGATGAGCAATCATATAACCAATGGTGATCAGAATCACTGACCGCATGCCCTTCGGGATGCTGATACGTAGCGATAAAATGAGTAAGATGTTGACGGGTCCGTGTCAGCGTGCTAAGACTTACAATGGTCTATGGAGCAGTAACATCATTGACCAGAACTGAATGTGGAGGACCAGGACATGCGGCGGAGGACATGGTTGTCTGCTCTGTGACGAATAACGCAAGACCTCTGGTAAATCGATAGACCACTGGAGCAGCCGCGAATGTATCCGTTCCATGAGAGCTCGGCGGGGTGTTGGATCGACACGAGTGACCGGATATATCTTCTCGACTATCTCGCCGTGAATGACAGCTGGATTATGTATCGGCAACAGCTTTCAAAGGCGTTGTATACTCGGGAGGACATACTCAATGCTGCCGCTGCCCGATGGTAGCTTTGCCGCAACCCAGGGGTAGCTGTGATGCGCTGGCCTTGCGAACCCGCGTGCATCGGTGCCCATGCGACTTCGTCTTCCACCTACGTTTCGCGTCCATGCGTTCGATGATTATGAATGTATAAAGGACAGAACGGTCTGTACCCACTTCTGTAACCTGAGGAAGCATAGTTGAGAAATCGGCCTCGTGCACAATCACCGGTCTCCCTAAAGGTAACTGTACAGTCTGCGGCGTACAAGGCAGATTCAGAGACTTACCTAGAAAATGTGATGCATATCTAAGGACGCATAGATCAGAGATGGCGGTACTCGTGCACAGAGATTCTCGAGGACTAACTTGTCTGCGAAGCAACATGCCCACCAATCTTCTTCCGGATGTTTTGCTCCGTGCGAGAGAACATTGCGTGCCCGTGGTTGAGCCACTTCTCAGAATCACGATTCAGGCCCAGATCAAAGGCCTATGTTCGGTCTATTCAAATCGTGCAACGAAACTTCTGGCGCGCTGCGAATCGTACCATTCGTGCGGCCATACCTGGTAAGAAGAACGTTCAGCTTTGTCTACTCCCTTGACGACAGACCAGCAGTCTTCATCTCAATGAGGGGTGTACACTGCTGCTCTGCCAAACGCATTGTATCCAGCGCCTTGGGCGAGGCTCTGGCAATGGCAGAAGTGACTCACCGACATGCAGCCAGCCTTCTTCCACGCTTGCTGAGTCGACTGACGTTCAGGAGAACACATGACGACCTTATGGTATAGACCCACCAATACCGAATTCGCGCACTCCCAAGAGGACCAGAGCCTGCACAGTCGAGGTCCGGCTCTCGTGGTACACGATGTCTATATTGAGACAATCGAACAATATCAGGCAATGGGCTGCGTTAGTAAGAATAGGTGACGTTTGAACGAAGTCACCTACCGAGCAATCTCCTGGCACTCGCCGCATACTGTTCCGCTTGGATAGTGTCCCAGTACTGTGCCGCAAACGCAAACACGGAAAATAACAATAACTTCGACATCTTCTGCATTCGCTCTGGCTCCACGGCGGGCCCTGGATCAGTGCCACTGGGGCGGGGATAGCGCTCTCCGACAAGCTAATACTGTCATCATATGTCAAATCAGCGTAGACGTCAAGACAAATACTAAGCACGGACTCTGCATTGTATTGCTCCATGAATGTTTCCTCGTCCAACACAGGCAATGACGTGTTCACATAAGTGAAGAACAATCGTATGAGGTGCAGCTGCACATCCACCGGTGGCACGGGGATGCTCTCTTCCACCCTCAGCCTCGCTTTCTCGCGCATGCTGAATTCCGTCTCGCCGGACGGTGCTGGGGGCCAGAGCTTCGACATAGGAAATTTCCTGTGATCACCGAACAATGGGGTGTAAGTGGGCATATTCACGGAGGAGAGGCAGCCACGGATACCAGATACCGCCGAAGTTGCGCTTATCTTCACGCTGGTGCTCCGCAAGCAAGTGTATGCCACTCAACTTGCCGTGATACCGAACCTGAGGCGAAGACGGTCAATTTCGATTCACGCACGGAACTGTAAACGAGAACACACCTCACGGTGCTCGTCAGTGACAGATGGCCGAAGGCGTCCGCAGTGTCGTCCAGCTCGTCTAATCGGTGTCTGTGGCGCCCGATCTATCACTTGTCTTGCTACAAAACAGTGCATCCCTCACCTGCAGTGCCATGTACATCGTCCCAAGACAGGTCGTGCCCTGGCGCTGAGGCCACCGTTCTTCGTCTCTGCCGTGCGGGCTCCGCGCCATCGTCCCGGGCACGAGCAACATGGCGAACGGGAAGAACGCGCGAGGATCCACTGGGTACCGGGTCTGCAGCCTGTCGTGACTGAGCCCACCGCACGAGCGACTCCGACAGACGGTCTGCCATTCGAGCGTCGGTCGCTCGTCGCAACAGGATCTGCCGACACGGTTCGCTGCTTGCATATATGTGGTCCAATGCACAAGACACCACCTTCCCTCGCCTGTATGACGCTTTCGCGCGTGGAGCGCGACTGTCTGCGCGAGCGCTCGCTCTGCTGCCGCAAAGTCGGGCTCACGATCGACGCGAAGAAGTTGTCCTCCGTAGGGTCGACGGACCGCTGCTTTCGCCCGCTCGGTCCCTGGGAACGCGGATCGTCGCGGACTGAGTTGCGGCCAGGAGCGTATGAGATAACAACGCACGAATGGACCAGCGTCAACTCCTTCCAGGATATGCTTCGCGAGAGTGTCCCGCCGTAGGTCGGCGACGAGCCCGGTCGTGCGCGGGTCCTTGGAGGACATGATGGCGGCGAGCACACTCTCCATCTGGTGAAGCCGCCGCTCGAGCGCTTTGATGTAGCCCTTTGGCGGGCCTCGGCGGAAGGAGGGCCTGTGCGGAGTTTGGGACACTCGTCGTTCGGAGACAGACATCTATATGCCACCTGAGAAAACACAGTCTATGTCGCAGAGGAGGCATGCTTAGCAGCAAGATAGTAGTAAGCGGAGATACCTCGCACCTGCGCCCGCCGCCACGCATCCCTTGCAGCGGTCTCCCCCGCCTGCTGCAGGCTCACATTTGCTCTTGGATTTCCGACACCTGTCGCAGGCTGTATGCGACGTGCTGAGCATTGTATGCGCACTGACAACGGATTGGCGAACGTACCTCGCGGCGTCCGCTTCGCAGTACTGGTACTACCACCTGCGCCCCCGCTCTTATTCCCCGCTTCTCCGTCACCATGTACTCGTCTTCAGATCGCTCATCCTCGTCTCCATAGTCATGCCTGCCAGACATCTGAAAGCAAGTGGATTACTGAATGGAGACCGTTACGCGCCCAGTCTTGAAGTACGGTATCGCTGGTCGCTAGCAGGTTGCTAGCGTCGCGCTAGTCTCCGTTGCAGACTAAAAAGCTAGCGTCGGCGGCGTCGGTATGTATGTTAAAGAGGCCGAGCAGGCGTCAGACACGAGTCATGGTTTGTATCTGAAGTGGAGATGGTGGTGGTATTGATGGCAGTTAGAAGTTGTAAGTTACCCCAGAGCCTCTACGTACCTCTCTCAACGCCGTCGACGTCTACGTCGCGGCTACCGACTCTCGACCGCGTCCAACACCGCGACCTCAGCATGGAAGCGGTGGTCGCTGCGTCACTGTGTACAGCGATTGCATACGAGTGCAGTGCGTATGGCTTGCGAGCCGAACAAGGCGATGTAGTGCAGGTACGTCGAAACCGATATCGAATCGAATTTTTGATTAGATGGCAGCGACCTCGAATATACGCGCAATGAGCCTTACTGTACTACGGCGTGAAGCAGAGTGGCATTCAGGGCCAAAAATGCATTTAATCGTGTCGAACCGAGCATTTCAGTCTCATACTAACAACACTAATATGTTGGAACTTGCAAGAGCGTCTCAGGCCATACGCACGGCCGTGGCTCAGGCTGCCAATGGTCAGCGAAAATATAGAACATGTACAAGTTCGTTGGAAGCAAGTGAGTAGTTCTAGTCCTTATGGATATCAATATGACCCACAGCACAGTGATTGTACAGGAGTCAACGGCTGCAAAAGGGCAACGTTTTACGTCTCATCGATCCAATATCCGTGACGCGTAGAAAGTGAGTGTGTACATCTCGTGTATGATCTTGGGTTCTGATGAGATGATAGAACACGTAGGTAGCAAGAGGCAGCAGCAAGGTAGCAGCGTGTCTGGTACGCTAGCTGCAGTCTCCGCTAGCTGTGGGCTTATGTCGGCGTACCACCGACTTCGGTCCTGCCGACTCTAGGCCATCCAAAGGCACGGCGAGCCAGTGGTATCGATATAATGCGCACGATCTTTCAGCGGGTATTAATGATGACAAGCCCGGCGCTGGTGCATGAGGTGCAGTGCACTAGCGGAGGGCAAGCACTTCGCCGAACACGACGATTTCCAAAGACGGTTCAGCCTCGTGCCTTCGCCGAAATGGGAGTTACTATCTACTGTGACATAGACAATGCGTGAACTACTTTCACCTTGTGTCCTTTCGCTGGAACGCTTGGATTCACTGCTACGATAACGAGCAAGATCTTCCCTCTGTTGGATTAAGTGCATCGCTTCAAGGTCAATTGTGAGGCACTTGCCGGCTCGAGCAGCGAATCTGTCGTCTTAGTCTATGCGGGTGTTGACGAGGCGAAGAAAGCTGTGGATAAAGAAGAGGTGTCCAGTCAAGTACACGAGCTTGCATTATCATACCATCAAGTGAGGCTGAAGGCATGCAGCGTGCAAAGATCACACTTGACAGATGTTTCGATTGATAATGCATAGATCGAGCAGCTTGTATGAGACTACGTAGTGACACAAAGAGCGAATAAACATAAGACAGGGAGACGATTCCATCTGAGACATAGGATTAAGGAATGTAGGGTTACTCTATCCTCAGCGTAGTCCATCAGTACATGTGGATGCGACACTAAGGGTATACAACGCGATAGCAATGGAAACAGTGAGACATAGCAGATTAAATAATGTCTGCGAGATGACAGGTCAGATGCAATTCCGGTACATGGACAGCTGGACTTACGAGAGAAGTCGTTGTGCTATGACAGAGCACTAGCCGACATGTCAGTATCTCTCCGGCCGGCTTGCAGGTATGCCAACATCGGAGTGATCAGGCTGTTCTGCCGACAGACGATATCGAGATCTCGCCCGCTCCAGAGACGCTGTTGCTGTGAATGTGCTGAGCCGTCAGGCTGGACTTGCTCGTCGTCCGTGCGAGCATCAGAGCTATCGTTCAGCTCCAACTCGAACTTGCCAGGGCCATGACGATGGTATACCTTGCTTCGGGATTTCGAGCGGACGTGAAGGCTTGCGCCGTTGCTTCTGCGCTCTGCCCCAGGCCATCCATTACTATGTTGGCCGTTCAGGGCACCACGTCCGCTTGACATGCTGCCGTTAGGGGCATGCCTCTGCGAAGGTCCACCGTTTAGCCGCGCTAGCGCCTGGTCAACTGGAGACAGTGGAACTGCGTCCTCTTCGTCAGAGTTGCTGATCAATGTCTCCTGGAGGACCCTGAAGGCGAGTCTCTCGTTGGCTTTGTACGTCTTCGATGACGACCCTGACGCCTCCGCAGGTGACACCGTGGACGCCACGATGTCGATTTGACGTCTGATCGAGACTGCCCACTGGTGACGCATGAGAGGATCGTCAAGGCTGAACATGTACTTCCGCTTTGCGCCGCGGTGGTCGACGAATGCCAGTTGAAAGGTGTTACGCATGAAAGCCCGCTCGACGACCACCGTGTTACTGAGTGGCAGGCCAGAGTACAGGATCCCGTTCGGTCCAGAGCGCCACATGATGATCGACTTCGTGCCCAGCGACGTACCAGTGACGCGGAAGGACGCCTCCGAGGACTTGGAGAAATTGAGCACAGGCGGATCAAAGACCAGATCCTGACCGAATAATTGAATCGTGAGTTGTGGGTCGGGCTGCGGTATGCGCAGGATGACGGGCTCTGATTGCATGCGGTAGGTGAGGCGAGAAGGAAGGTGGCGCTTGAGGGTGACAGGGACATCAGGATGGGACGTAGACGCAGATAGGCTGCGTGCCTGCGTCAGTCTCTCCTTCCGAACCGAGGTATAGACCTTGTTCAGGAGGTCGTCACTGACCAGGCCCCTGCGGTCGAACTTTCTGAAGGCCTCGACGAAGTCGTGCGACGTGACGTTGCGCCTCGGGTAACCTGTGATTCCAGACTCCTGCGCGATAGCCCCGTGCATGACCTCGTTGAGCTGCACGATAGCACGCACAAGCCGGATGGCGAGGTCCTTATCATACGCGACGACTCCTGCATTGGCTTCGTACCACCGACTAGCGAAAGAGTCTAGAAGGTACTCCAGCGAACCTGGCTTGTTCGGGACGTTGACTGCCTGGAGGAAGACTCTGAGAGCCTTGTCGATCCTCAGAGCCGTCCAGCCAAATGTATCGACAAAGGCCTTAAGGACGACCTTAGATGTCCGACGAGACAGATACTCCCCCAGTCTCACTCTATCCAGATCCACAGTACGGAAGAGTAACTGTCCAAGAGCGGTCGGATCGTCTCTGCAGTTCGTTTTGGCAAACAACGCAGAGATGGCATGGTCAGGATCCTTTGAGAACTGCGTCACAAAGTTCCCTATCACCGGATGGCGCATCTGATTGGTGTTGCTGGACAGCTTCGAGCGCGGTTCGTCTCGGTCACTGCACAAACGGAGATCGCGCAGCTGGCAGACACTCTTCACGATGAATTTCCTGTCCAGCGGACTGGGTTTGGTCGTGTCCAACAACAACGCATCATGATCCTGCACGATAGGCTTCGCGATGACCAAGATGTCGTTGAAGAGGAACAGGAATCTGTCTTTGACAGTGTTGGCGTTCGCCACCTGGAGGAGAGGTGAAGACATGACGAGTTTTCTTGGAGGGTCGTCGGGGTACATGGAAGCCTTCGTGCCTCGTCCAAGCACTTCCTCGAGACGCTCGAGGATGAACGCGCTTTGTGAAGGCTCCGTGCGCAGCTGGTCTGTAGAGCGATGAGACAACGACGAATCAGAATATGACTCGGAAGTCGAGCGGATGGGGAAGTCGTCAAGGGAGGACTGTGGGTCTGGAGTTGTCGAGGATGGTGGATCAGGCGGGGATGGGTACGAGGCGGAGAAGTCGGACGGCGATGCCACGCCATTTGATCTGCCGTAATCCACGTCTGGCCGTGGGGACAAGACTGTCTCCGGGCTAGAATCATGGCTGGGGAACACAGGAGTTGGCCCTCGTGGGGGCAGTCTCCCATCTCGCGGCTTGCCCAAGGTGGAGGTACTTGGAGGACTCAACGGCGTCGGTGACTTGCCCCGGCTAGGTTCTTCCCAATCGTTGTCTATCTCCTTTCTGTTGGGCAACAAGTCGGAGAATGACCCCTTCTTCTGTCCCATCCGTGGTCGAGTTTCCGACGGAGGCGAGCTGGAACCGCTAGTTGACGTGACAGGGGACGTCTGGGAGGAGAAAAGTTTCTTCGCGCTTAGCCACTTCTTCACGCCTTCCCGATTCATCGGCAGCTTCATCGAACCTGTAGTGCTTGCGTTTACAGGAGCAGGAACAAGATGCACACTGAAGTAATCACCTTGCGAAGCGTTCGAGTTAACAGCCGACACAGGAGGCGGCGAGGTGGCGCCGTTGAACTTTGGCAGGAGACGACTGTCGGACGCTTGATGGGAGAGCTTGCGTTCCCTGCCGTTCTCAAATTGCCATGTCGCGGTGTTCGATGAACTCGAGCTGGGGGCCTCTCCCAGGCCATTGGGCGAAGCAACATCCGGACTTGAGGCGGACGGCGTCATCGGCTTCCCTCCCTTCCCGTCAGCCTTCATGTTAGGGAACGAAGGCTTCAGGCCAGGGAAGGGGTGTAACTTGGAGTTTGTCTCGTACATCAACCTCTCCACAGGGGTCGCAGGTGGTACTGGAGAATGCAGGCCCATCTGAGCACCGGCGGGGAGAGAGAGCATAGACGTGGAAGCGGACGGCGGCTGTGTATCAGGGTGAGCGTGTTCACCCTTCTCCTTCGAAAGACTGACGCGACTATCACGACTAACACTGGAATCCGTGTTGTTGCGACGGTCCCGAGCGTTGATGCTGTTGGTGCGGGAGCGTCGGCCGCTGGCAGAGGCACTTCGGCTGATACCAAAAGTGTTCTTCACGCGCTCCCAGGCACTGGTGGGATCCGCAGGGCGTTTGATCGTAGAGTCAGTCAGCCTCGCCCGGTCCTCCCAGTCGGAGAGCTCGGCGCTAGGAACGCGGTCAAGTTGGCTGGGCGTCCCCACAGCAAGCGCCCGAGGATAAGTAACAGGGGAGATTTGCGTGTTCAATTGAAGGTCAGGTGTCGGGGATGAGAGGGGGGCTATTGGGGAGATGGGGGAAGGTACAATGTGCGAGGATGTGGGTTCGGGAGACGTCTCGAGGTCAACAACTAGGTCAGTTCGTGCTGTGAGCTGAGGCCGATCAAACGAGAGTTGCGCAGGCTGTTCGATGTCAACACT